TCCAACCCCTGGGCCTGTGAAAGTGAGCCACAGAGAGCGGTATAGCTGCTTCCGTCGAGCGCTCCCGGGCTGTGCCGTGAAGTGGGTGGTGAGGTCGGGGCCTGGGCTCCCTGGGCCCTGCTTTCACCGTTCCCGTAGCTCGGCACAGCCTTAGACAGCTCTGTGCTTCGGGAGCAGGTCAGGGACGCATTCACCGGCCTCGCAGTGAGTTGATGTTGAGTGTGAATGCTTCAAAAAGCTTTCCAGAAGGGTACGCACCCAGGCTACCCATCGCGTTTGTATGTTTTCCTTAGCTGTGGGGAGCCGATATTTCAATCCCAGTGCTAGCTGGGGTTTCTGTTTCCTGAGGGATGGTGAGATACTTCCAGTGCCACAATGTTATTAAAATACACAGCACCACAGTCCAGGTACAAGGAAGGATCTCGAGAACTCCTGCTCGACTTGTTTTATGTTTGTTGTGACACATTGTGGCCCATAATAAGGACTGCAGTGGCCTGTACTTGCGGTGTGCCCTAGCTTAAGTGCAGGAAATCTGGAAAACATCTTGTTGAAGAATGATTATTATACAACAGTAAGTTGTTACAAACATTTCTGGTAGCCTAAAGCATGTCTCTGGATCTAGCACTTACATATTTAAAACAGCAGCTGAAGCCACTATTTATAACCAAGCTGTCTTTTAGGAATGCAAAATAGTGGCTTGATTATCAGATTAGATTCCTTGTACAAGCCTTTGTAATGACTTGACATGACAAATATGCAGGTATGTGCAGGTTCCTGAATTTAATTTAGTAGATTTCTTGTAACACCAATGCCTCTGCTTTCCAGCAGGGTGAACCAGCTTTGCTGAAAACGTGCTTTTTCCTGCAAGGCAATTTTTTGGGATCACCTGGCTGCATAGGACCATTTTCTGGTGGCTTCAAGGTGTAACTGGATAGAGTCTATTAGATGACTATGTAAATATAACAAATTGCTTTTATTTACAGGCATTAAGCTTCGTCCCTATCAAATAGAAGGTGTTAACTGGCTGGTGCAATGCTACGAAGTTCAGCATGGTTGTATCCTGGGAGACGAGATGGGTCTTGGAAAGACTTGTCAGGTGTGTTGCTGTTTTCTTCTGGAAAATGATCTTTGCCTAATTTAGCCCAGTGTTTGCAAAATTAAAAAGAAAAGCACCCTAATGATTGGTCAGTGAAGCAGCCCCATCCTGAAGTCCTTACTCAAAGGAGAGAGTTTATTGTTTCTTTCCTTCCTTAGTCACTTAAAACCACTGTTAGATCCTGAGTAACGCTCCAAAAAGGTTTCAGGATTTTGTAAAAAAATGAGTGGTCGTTTTACACAGACATCTGAATGCGTAATTCATAGTGCCTGGAGCTGAAGGGACAGCCTGTACAGAGAGGGTGATGTTGTTTAGATGCACCTGCAGCAAGATGATTTTTGAGTTTGTCAACACGTGGATTAAAATTTACAGGTGTAAATTTTTCAGTGCTGCTTTTTTAAAGGAAGGAATAAGTTTTTAAATGTATTTCAGTTTTGTTGGAAAATGGTTGTTGGTGCTTTCATTCAGCTGGTGGTATTCAATGGATCTTAAATAACAAACTGGTAGTTTTAGGAAGTGATGTATGGCAGATCTTTTTTGTGACTGTGGGAGAAAGGTGTTTGGAAAGGCGCTCCAGATAGCGAGGTCACATTTTGGAATATAAATTTTATTGTCATTGACGGTGGATCTCATCTGATACTCTGTTAGCTCTGCTTTATGCTAGAGAATCTGTGGAAACCAGCTACAAAGCTCATGGAGAAGAGAGTTTATGGAGGATCAGGCTAATAGGTTGAACCCTTTTATTGTTTTTAAAAAAAATTCTTTTCCTTGCCTTCTAGACTATTTCTCTACTTCTTTATTTGACAAAAAAGATAACGAACAAAGAGAGATTTCTGATACTTTGTCCTCTGTCTGTTTTGAGCAACTGGAAGGAGGAACTGGAGAGGTAAGTTTCAACAGTTGTCCATCTCATAATACCCTTGCACAGCAAGTTACAAAGATTCTCTTCAAATGTGCTCAGTCCAACAGTTTTCTTCCTTTCAAAGGGAAGAAAAGTAAAAAGAGAAGCTACTAACCCAACAAATCAATGAAAACTATGCAGTTAATGCATAGTCTTTACAATGCTGTGATATACATGAATTCATCCAACTTACACTTTTGGCTGACTTTCATTCCAAATGCCCCCACTAGCTCCTTGCTTTTATTGATTTGTAACCCTCCATGCTCAGCCTCTCTTAGGCAAAATCTGCTGAAGACACAGGATTCTGTATGATGAAAGGTAAGACCCAAGTTGAATAGTGTCTTTCTTGGCATGCTCACATATGCATGCAAAATACATTACATCTGTGCATGCAACCCGTCTTCACTGGAGTGCAGTGACTGTGCTGATGGCACATTTGCTGTCTCTCAGGATCTGAAGTCATCCAGGTTGCATTCTGAAGTGAGTTGGCCTGATTTGGATAGACTTGCGGTTAGAATAGTTGGGGGAAAGCACATCCTGTCATGGATCAGCAGTGAACAGCTATCCAGGAGCAACATTAGGTAACTCTCAGTGTACGATTAAATGAGGAAGAATTTTATGGTCCCTACTCTTCCTCCAAGGAACTGGTTTTATCTGTCTCTTGACTAAGAGGATAGATTTTTGAGGCCCTGACTTGGACCTGTTTGCTGCAGACATTGTTTGCTTTTATACTAGCAGCATTTAGGCCAATTCTTTGGTCCCAACTGGGCAAACTATTTATTTGCTTCCTTCTCATGAGCTTTTTCAGTTCAGAATAACAGATGGGCCAACAGATGGGTTTTCAGTCACCTGCCTTGGACATTGAGACCTTGGAGAACTTGTCCAAACCAGAACCAGCAGCTGAGGTGTCAACTTGAGATGCACATTAGTCAGGAAGGGGTTAGGTTCAAAAGCTGAGATCCAGCCACATCTCACAGAAGGTTAGGGTATTTGGATAAGAGGTTCTCATTATCTGTGTCATAGCTATGTTTGAAAATGGGTTCCAGGGTCATAAAGACATGAAAGAGAATTTGGCTTACTGTTTTTCCTCTGTCTTTCTCTTGACAACAGGTTTGCTCCAGGTCTTTCCTTTGTGACATACATAGGGAACAAGGAGGAGCGACCCAAACTGCAGCAGAACCTGAAAGAGCAATCTTATTTCCATGCACTCTTGACGACATATGAGGTATGTGATGTCTTTGTTACTTAAAAGAAGTACCACCTCTGTACCACACAATTCATGGCTTGTCCTCTATACTCATTTCTAACCTTCCTCAGTGATTTTCCACTATTTAACCTGTTTCACCAACTGGTCTAAGTTGCTGCAGTTTTTGTGTCCCTAAGATAATCTACTTCAACCCCAGCTTTACTGCACAGCTGTATCAAACCTTGAGCAAAGAAAACAGACACATGTCCATCCTTAACTATTGCTAAATAGTATCTACATTGTCTTTGTATGGTGCCTTATAGACCTTTAACATTTAATGGATTCATACATGTGTGTGATGTTTGTTTAGATTCTATTAATTGGGCAATGCAAGAACACTTAGAAAGAGTTTGCCTTTTTTAGTGCCCTCTTCAGCATGCCCTCCTCAGACAAAACTCTCATTCCTCGACTGCAAAATGGGAAGGTTCCTGTTACAATTTATAGGACTTTGGGCTGAATCTGACGAGAGCTCACCCGAGAAGATCCTGTACTGCTGCAAATGGAACCAACCAGAATAGGTGGACTGTTTCCACCTTGTACAAGTGGGAGTGGGTAGCAGTGATAGCTCTTGTCCCGAGTATAATAAATGGAGCTGCTCATACCGAAGCATGTCCAAGAAGGCAATTGATTATATTGAGATATTATCTTAGCTGGGACTTTGGTCTCTCTTGTTTTTGATGATAAAAATTCTGTGTGTTTTTAAGGATTTCTCGAGTGACCTGATTTCTCTTCCTCTGAATCCGAAGTTGAGCAAGGAATGTCTACACGTTAGGATACTGTCAGGTCATGGTCATAGCTTAGATTGATCCAGTGAAGCATATGTTTAGTTAGAGTGAAAAAGACTGTCATGCTGATGGTTCATGGTGTTTCTCTCTGAGTGAGAAAGACATGAAAGACTGTACAGAAGTGAAGAGCATTTATGATGTGTATAAGTTTCCATTAATTCTGTGAGATTCTACTGCTGGTATTTTGCCAGACAGGAACTAAAATGTGGGATCACAACAGCTTGTGGTTACAATAGCTGTCATATTACTTTCCTCAAGTAATAAGTAGCCTCATTCCACTCTCCTCCATTCCACCATAGCTTGCAAGTAGACAAAAAGATTCTTTGCTTCTCAACTGGCGTATTACCTGAAATCATAAGTCATGGTCCATTTCCTTTTATTGCAGATTTGTCTGAAAGATGCAGCATTTCTAAAATTGTGAGTCTGGTTTTAATTTTTTCAAATTTAATTCTGCATGTCTGCCAGTGATTTCTTAGGTGTATGTTTGTGTGTGTGTGAGATCCTATACTTGCTTCACAAGAGACAAGGATGTTCTTTGCTTGTGATTAGAGCTTTATTGTCATCAGCTTTCAGTGAAGATTCTTTAACGACAGCTAAGATATACATGAACTTACCCCAAGGACAGTTTTCAAGCCAGTTAACTCAAAATTATATGATTCATAGTGGCTTGTAGCAGTAGACTAAATATCAATGCAGAAGATTGGTATTTAGAACAGAGGGGATCTTCAAAAACTGTGCTGCTGCTTAACCTCTAGGGTTTTAATTCCCCCATCACAGAGTGATTTTCCACACAGTCAAGTCTGGTAAGCAGGCACAAACACTGAGGGTTGAAAAGATCTGGAGTTTGTATTAAGTCTAGTGGATCTACTAAGTCACCAGTGATTCTGAAGCCTGCTTCATGAGACACTACATATATCTGCATCATGCCCAGAACAAGCTGAAGCTGCCGTCTTGGGTGATTTGCAAAAGGCTCGTAATCGCTCTGCCATCATTATCTAATCATAGTTGGGTTTTTGTACAGGTGCAAGGGCCTAGTTTTACATCTGTTATGTTCCAAATTGTAGACCTCCTTGAGTGTTTGACTAACGTGTGCTTATGTAATTTTCCCCATAGAAGTGGGAGTGGAGAGAGAAGCAACAAATTCAAGTGAATTTACTTAGCTTTTATTTCAGAAAAACTCATCCAGGCTATAGTTAAGAAACTGCATTGGCTTTTGAAAACTGGTATTTGTGAATTCTTCCCACCCTGCTTGTGTTGTTTCCTTGTGGTTTATGGGGTAGGACCATCTCAAGTTCAGCCAAGCAGAGCCACCACTTATTTCAGTCTTTTTGAGCTGACAAGAATGAATTGTCTGCCTCTAACTGAAGATCCTGTTTTTTCAGCTTTAACTGGGCTGCCTTGGTTGTAGATGAAGCTCACAGACTGAAAAACCAAAGTTCTCTGCTTCACAAGACACTTACTGAGGTAAAATAACTCATCCATCTTTTAGTGTCTAAAACCCTTTTTCTCTTCAGTATAACATACAGATTCTCTGTTCCTCCGAGTGTTTATTAAGATCTGGCCCACAACCAGTTTCCATCAGAGCTGGTGAACAGATTCCCGTATTTACTGGCAGACAGATGAGGGCCTATCTTGTTGGCTTCTCATGGAGTTGGACAGTATTTGGAGCTTATCTCTTACTCTGACTCATGTTTGTGCTTGACTCATGGGAGCAGTTTGAGAGACTGAAAAGTGTAAATTAGCCAGACACAGTGCTGAACCACAGCAGTGGTACTGAAGTGGTAGAAGTCTGGCTGCCCTAAGACAATATAAAGCAACAAGAGGCCATCTCCAGCTCTGGGGAGGTGAAGGAACTCTTGTCTAGTTCATGGGACCTCAAGTCATGAACTGTTTACTTCCATTGTCCCATTTAATGGAGCCACCCTTGCTTATTGAAGTTGGTAGAATTGCTCCAGCTTCCAAAGCACCCTGCCAAAGTACAATGACTGCCTGAGTGAAGGCTGCACTTCTTGCCATGGCAGTGAAACATGGGCATTAGGTCTGGGCTGGCATCATCGACAATGAACTACCAGACCTTGAAAAATAATTTCTTTTATTAAATTCCTGAAAGTCTTGCATCTTCTGAACACGTTGTCTATGATGTCTGCATTTCAGTAGCTTCGGTTGTAGTGACAAAGAAATAGGCATGATTCACCTTAGCTCTCCTAACATATTTGCTATTACCAAACTTGAAAGAAACTTGTATTTTTTCAAAGGTAACCATATTCCCTAAGGCTCTTTACAGGGATTACTGTGAGCAACATGGACCCGATAATATTGCTGTGTTTGTCAGAGTTAGCCAGCAAATATAAATGGAACATAATCTTTTGCAGTTTCATTTCACTGTCTTATTCTGACAGCATTTTCCAGTCATCTCTCAGTACCTAACACTCAGTGTGCAGCATTGGACCACAGAGTGCATGGATCTGGGAATTTTAATGGTGTCAGTTTTAGAATTTGTTCTTATTTTACTTACACTGCCATCCTAGTCAGTTTGGTGATGCTCTTTGACTGTCAAACCATACTTTACGTTGGATGGTTTTGGCAGACATTTGCAGCATTCTGCGGGCATTTCTGTGCCACCTGTCATCTTTAAGTTAAGCTTAACTGTGGGGTGGGTGGAGTTATATATTAAGTAACTTTTTATTCCAGATATTTTCTATAATACTTTTTTTTGTTCCTGATTATTTCAGTTCTCAGTAGGCTTCAGCCTGCTACTCACAGGCACTCCAATCCAGAACAGCCTCCAGGAACTGTACTCCTTACTCAGCCTTATTGAGCCTGACATCTTTCCTGGAGAACAAGTGAAAGAGTTTGTTGAGTACTACCAAGCAGTTGAAAAAGAGAGTGAGCCGGGTCAGTAATAAGCAATGTTGTACTTCAATCAGAACCAGCCATTATCTTGACTAGGAAACAGACATGTTTTGTCCTCTCTATTTGCTTTCTTTCAATGGTGACTGGCTTTAAAACAAAGCCACTAAAAGCAATGATTACTTACCTTAATGTAGCTCTTAAGTATTTCAGGTATGTGGCAATGCTTTGATTTCTCTGTAAAATCGGGCTTGAATCATTTCACTAATAGATGTAAGGTTCCTTTTACATTTATTTTGAAGGTACAGCCGTGAAGGTACTGTATAAATTCCTTACATTTAATGCAGTAATCTCTTTTTTTTTCCCCTGCCTCGGCATAGCCAAAGAATTGCACAATCTTCTGCAGCCATTTTTGCTTCGAAGAGTCAAATCAGAGGTGGCTGCAGAGCTGCCAAAGAAGGTGGAAGTGGTTCTGTACCATGGAATGTCAGCTCTGCAGAGAAAGTACTACAAGGCCATTTTGACGAAAGATCTAGGTAACTGAGGGTTTTAAATTTTAGAAACAAAATTAATTCTTTTTGTAAATCTGTGCTCTCTTGTAGTATGGCAGAAGATACTTTGGCCTGCAGAATATGCATAGAATAAACATGCCAAGTTCAGTGCTCTGAACTGCTTGATTTGTGGCTTTAGCTTGTGATAAAGTAAGAGACATACAGAGCTAGAGCTAGGGAGGGTCAGTTTCAGGGTTCTGCTTTGGGCCAGCCTGTAATTGAAAGTACTTATCGTGAGCCTATCCCATGTTTTTGTGTTCAGACAAAAGGTATAGGAAATTTTGGATCTGTGGATCTCTACAAATTTTCTAATAGTAGCACAGATGCCATAAATCACAGAATCACAGATTATTAGGAGTT